CAAACAAACAAACAGAAAAACAAACAAACAAACATACAAACAAACGTGCAAACAAACAAACAAACAGACAAACAAACAGAAAAACAAACAAACAAACAGAAAAACAAACAAACAACCAAACAAACAAACAGACAGACAAACAGACAAACAGACAAACAAACAGGTACAGTATCATTCCTCTGGTACCTTTCCTGGCTCTACAACGTGTTCGACAGTCCCCTCGTCCACCCACGGATATCTGACCCAGAAAAAAATTACATCACTTCGAAACTAGGTCAAGACGTCTACGGAGGTCATGATAGTAGTTGTGGGGATGGTGCTGGTCTTGGTAGTAGTTGCGGGGACGGTGGTGGTCTTGGTAGTAGTAGTAGTGGTGGTTGCAGCGGTCGCGACGGTGGCGATTGTGGCAAAAATTTTGAAATAAATTTTTGTGGTAACGATAAAAATGGAAGTAATAGTAATAGTTATAATAATAATAATAATAATAACATGGACAATAATAAAAACAACAACACTGGTAAGACCATCGATAGCACGACGACGACCACAACTTACTTTACTTCATCCTCAACAAAAACTAATAACAATAATAATAATAATAATAATAATCATCATCATCACCCTCACCCTGACATCATAATCACGTGCCCTTCACCCTCTATAACTACCACCCCAAAACCCTCTGGGGGCCTAAAAATACCGTGGAAAAAAATTTTACTATCGCTGCCCTGTTGGGCCATCATTGTGGCCCACTCGTGTAACAATTGGGCCAATTATACAATTCTCGTGTGTCTACCGTTGTTTATGAAGGAAGTTATGGAGCTGGAGGTGCAACAGGTGTGTTTGTGGAGTGTGTATGAGGTGTGGGATGTGTGTGTGTGGTGTGGGATGTGTGTGTGTGGTGTGGGATGTGTGTGTGTGGTGTGGGGATGTGTGTGTGGTGTGGAGGAGTGTGTATAAGGTGTGGGATGTGTGTGTGTCGTGTGGGAATGTGTGTGTGGTGTGGGATGTGTGTGTCGTGTGGGGATGTAGGTGTGTGTGGAGTGTTTTTTGGTGAGGAGTTAAATAGCAGCGTGTTTTTGAAGGAATGTGTTGAAAATTTTGTCCGAACGGTTGTTGGTTGTCTGCCGAATTTTTTGGATTAAGCGTTTTGGTGTGTGTGTGCGCGCGCGTGTGTGTGAAGTGCTTTTTGGTGTGTTTGTGATTTGTGCGAGTGTATGTGGTGTTTGTTTAAATGGTTCTTGTTTTTTACTGAGACTCATAAAGACGTGTTTGTGGTGTTTTGCTAATGAAACAAACCAACTTATCAGGCAATCAACCAAGCATTATTAAATCAATCAGCCAATCAATGAACCAAACCAACAAACAACCATCCAATCAGAATGGACTCTACACATCCCTACCTTACGTATTTAGTTTTTTGATGGCGATTCTTTCCGGTCACGTGTCCGACTTGTTGATCAGGCGGAAGTGGTTGAGTGTGGCCAATACAAGAAAGTTGTTGCAGACGATATGTTAGCTTGTGTGCGTGCGTGTGCGTGCGTGTGTTTATGTGGTTATTTCTGTATAGGTGTGTGTGTATGTGTGTGTGTGTGTGTGTGTGTGTGTATGATCAGACAGAGCAATAAAATATATTAACTTGCATGTGTGTGTTTGTGTTCATAACCCAACCAACAAAATCAACCAGCCAACCAACCAACCAAATCAACCAACCAACCAACCAAACAACCAACCAATCACAGCTTCCGTTATCCCAGCGATCCTCTTGATAGTAGTGGGATACCTGGATAAGGATGACGTCATCCTGGTTATTTGTTTGCTCTGCGTCATTGTCTCAGTTAATGCTCTCTGTCGGTCCGGAATGATGGTCAATCACATTGATATAGCTCCGAGGTTTACTGATTGATTGTTGATATTTAGTTAATTGATTGATAATTAGTTAATTGATTGGTTAGTTGATCTGGATAATAGGGTGATCTGTTATACTATCTGTATCGTTGCCATCATCATCATCATAGTCGTTATCATCATCATCATCATCATCACCACTAGCGAAAGTATCATTACCATAATCTCCGTCTCAGATACTCCGGTATATTGCTGGGTATCTCCAACACAGTGGCAACAGTACCAGGTATCCTTGGGCCGGCTGTTGTCGGGTGGATCACTACTAATGTTAGAAGAGATTTTGGTTTTTTTTTTCATTCATTCATTCATACATTCATTCGTTTTTTGATTCGTCTATTTACTTTTTCTGTCCATCCATCATTCATTTACCCATTTATTTATTTCTCATTCACTCATTATTTTTTGTTCGTTCGTTCGTTCATTCATTCATTTATTCATTCATTCATTCATTCATTTATCTCTCCATCCAATCACCACACGCACACGCACGCACGCACGCACTCAGGGAACTAAGGAAGAATGGCAAACAGTATTTCAAATTTGTTCCGTCCTATTGCTGTTCAGTAGCATCTTCTACTGCATTTTCGCACAGGGGGAGCTACAAGAATGGGCCGCCCTAACGGACGAGTCTACTTTTGAAAGGATGGAAAAATCAGGGAATGTCCAAGATGATGACGAGATGAAGATAAAAACTATAGCGGTAGATGATGATGATGGTAGTAATCGTAATGGCAAAAAGTTTGATAACGAGGAAGATGATGATGAAGATGTTGATGATAATGATGATAATAATAACAATAATAATAACAATAATAATAATAATAATGTTAATGATAATGATGATGAGCTAATGAAATTGAAGAGGGTTGTTTTAAATTAGATTGTTGTTGTTGATGACGATGTTGTTGTTGAGGCGATAATAAAAATAACAATAATATAAAAAAAATTGCAATTATTATTATTATTATGATTATTATATTATTATTATAAATATTATGACGACTATAATTGCGAATGGACCCACGTATTACGATGTGTAACATTGATTATTTTTATTTAGCTAAAAAATGCTTCACACCATTATCATTATTAATGAAGAAGGTTATTATTATTATTATTGTTGTTGCTGTTGTTTTGAAGACAAATTTGAGAAGAAATTCGAAAAAATAAAATTTATTATTATCGTTAAAATGACATAGCCAAAGATAAACACAGCAGAACAAAAACACAATGATGATAATAATAATAATAATAACAATATTAGCAATAACAATAGTTTGGTGATCACAACTATTCATTTCTTCGTAATCATCATCGTCGTCATCATCATCATCATGATCGTCATCATCATCATTATCGCTGCTGTCTGAAATTTTTCACAATTTCTTCTTCCAAGCTTTCGTACCTCCCTAATACTTCTTTGTAAATCTGTTACGTCACAACAACAACAACAACAACAACAACAACAACAACAACAACAACAACAACAATAATAATAACAAAAACAACAAAAATAATAATAATTATAATAATAATAATAATATTAACAATAATAAAACAATAACTCACCTTGACGGCATCTTTGTTAGGAAAAATGGTATTAAGACAATCATCATCATCATCACCATCATCGTCATTATTGCCAAAACAACCCCCACCACTACCACCCCCACCGTCCTCATCATCATCACCAGCAGCGCCACCATCATCATTATCAGGATCTTTAAAGCCAAATTTGGCCAGGTATGCACCGCCGAGGCAGGCCGAGTTTTTAATGTCTTTGGTTACGACCGGCTTGTCGAAAACATCCGCTATGATCTGACGGTGGTGATGATGACGATGAAGACGACGACGAAGACGATGATGATGATGATTATTTTTATTATTATTATTATTGTTTACGATGTCACTTTGGAACCTGAAGCGTCGGCTTGCTGGCAGAGGCACCGCCCGTAGCTAAAATTCTTTCCACTCCATCTTAGAAAAAATAAACTTATTATTATTATTTTATTATAATTATTATTGTTATTATTATTGTTATTATTATTTAATTATTATTATTATTGTTATTGTTATTATATACCAAGATTTATCCCCATCTTAAGGGCGTGTAACTTCTTAACGGCCACCTGTCCTTCGACCAGAGCCCTGATTTCTATTTCCGGTTCGAATGACGTCATCTAAACGGTCGTGGTGATGATGATGATTATCAACATCATCAAATACAACGACGACAACGACGACAGTAGCAACAACATCAACATCATCATCATCATCATCAAACCCACCACCAAGTTTGTGGGGCCCAGTCTCATGACTCCGTGAACTGGAGGGTGGATTTCAGGTAAGTCGTAATAAATTCCTGAATTGTTTGATTGGTTGGTTGGTTTGTTGAATGGTTGGTTGGTTGGTTGGTTTGTCAGTAGGTTGATTGGTTGGTTTGTCGGTTGGTTGGTTGGTTGATTGACTGGTTGGCTGGTTGGTTATTTAGTTGAGTGATTTGTTGGTTCATTTTTTCGTTAATTCATTTCTGTTTAATTGTTTTTTCAATGGCTCATCAAACATTCGCTCATTCATTCATTCATTCACTCACTCATTCTTTCACAGAACTAACCGATGTGACCGTGGTTACCAGGCACACCCCTCTCAAGAGCCTCGTCAAATTCTCGCCACGACCCTAACCCGCAATTGTCCTTGACCTTGCTGCGGGTCAAACTCCCGTTCTTGAAGCTGATTGGCCAGAAATTTTCGGTCAGAGTTATTATTATCATCATCTATATTATCGTTGTTATGCTAGTCTATAATAATTATTGCACCTAACAGGTCAAACAACTAATCAATCAATCAACCAACCAATCAATCAATCAACCAACCTACCAACTAATCAGTCTATCAGTCAGTCAACCAACTAACCAACCAACAGCCAGCCAACCAACCAACCAACCAACCAGCCAACCAACCAAGCAACAACCAACCAACCAATAAATCAACCAACCAGCCAACCATAGCATAATCATATAGATATTGGGATTGAGCGGGTTGATCATGACAAGACCACCCAAACATGGCTTAGAGTTGTATTCATCCATGGAAAATGATAACGTGTCACTCGTTCCTAAACTGATCTGCATGAATAAATGAATGAATGGATAAGTGAATGAATGAATGAATGAATGAATGAATGAATGAATGAATGAGAGATGAATGGATAGATATTTGAATGAAATAAATAAAAAAAATAAATGAGTGAATGAATAACTAGATTCAATATCGTTCCATCTCACTCGTTCGTAAACTTATCAGGGTGACATGGCCGAATGAGAGAATAGATAAATAATGAAAGAATTAAAAAATGAACAAACAAATGAATGAACAAACTAAACCCCTTACAACAGCGTCGCGAGTACAAGCCTTCATTCCAATCATGGAAGCTGATGATGATAATAATAATAATATAATAACAATAATAATAATAATAATGGAAACTTCTTTTATTATAACTCAAAAACTAAAATCAAATTCATAAATATATACACGGCTAAATATATCACACACGTATATATATATATAATATATATATATATATGTCACAGGTTGAGGTTAGCATGCGGCGCCTCATGATTTAATCTTAACTGGGTTGCCGCATGGCAAAAAAAAAATATATAAAAAGGCGGGAATAGGAGAATTATTGGGTCTGAACGGCGTAGTTTAACTCTTGGTTGATAGTAGACGGTGGAACTTTGCATTTTAGTAGTTATTGTTTTAATTTAGAATTAAAACGTTTGGTAGTAGGTTTGGCGGTAGGACGTTGTCAGTCAAAAGTCTAACTGGAACGTCGTTAATAGGAATAATAATGGTAATTGGTGGCAGGTAGCAGTAGCGGAGTCAACAACAGCTCCAACACAACAGTGTAGTGGTGTCAGTTATTTCAACAACAACTCCAACACAACAGCGTCGTGGTAACAACCACCACAACTACAACAACCAGTTATTTCAACAACAGCTCCAACACAATAGTGTCGTAGTTTCAGTTATTTCAACAACAACTCCAACCCAACAGCGTCAGGGTAACATCCACCAAAACTACAACAACCCTTATCCAGCAACGTCGTGGCGTCAGTTATTCCAACAACAACACTCGCACAACAACGTGACAGTCTATACCGTAGTAATAAAGCACGTTTGTCACCCCAAACGACAACACACCCATTAACTTAATAATTGAACAATATTTTGTTAATTTGTATTCTATTTCGATTTATTTGAATATCAATAAAGCTTATTTTCTGTTTCTACACATCAAATTTCAAGTCTTTTGATAGAAGCCGTAAAGAACCTGTTACAATATATATAATATTATATATATATATATGCATATATAAATACATATATAATAAATGCTTATAATATTCATCAATGTTCATCTTTAACATAGGAGTATGATGGTAAAATGACACAAAAGTTGTTACTAGTTTTGTTACAGTCACGATACACTGCTTACAGCGGCTTAGTTTACGCGGTTTATCAAAAAATCTCTAAAAACGTCTGGCAAAGATAAATTGATTAATTAGTGTTTAAAAGGATTATGAAAACGTATTGGACTAATTTCAAATGCTCTAATTAGAATGTTAAAATTTTAAAAATCTTTCGACAAATCGTTTTAAAGGTTGTTTTTGTATTTTTCTCCCTTGTAAGGGTTTTGATTCGGTGGAGTTTGTCTCGTGGTAAACCGTCAACTCGAGAATCTCAATCGTATCCCTGCTGACCATGCCGACGTATGTCTGGTCTGTTAGACTTGAATACTGGAAGGGGTAGATTGATTATCTAGACCCACATACACCCTTAAATCAGAATTCGCGTAAGATTCTAAGTGGTCAACAATTGGATTGAGAATTTTGTTAAGTCTCTCTAGGTATCTTGCCAATGCCAGGGTTGAACCGCAGTTTGACTCTACATGCTTAATCCTTTGTTTTGCTTTGCATAGAGGACATAACTCCTTTGTTGACTTTCCCTATTTAACCGAGTTTGAGTTTGTTGGTAGTTGTTGTATTAAGTATTTTATTGCGGATCTAAATGGGATCTCTGGTTCTCTTCCTACCGCTATAGGCCATCGTGAGATTTCAGAGGAGTCGATGTGGTCTTTTATAGATCTAAGCAAAATACCTTGGTACTGTAGCGAATGTGTATGATTGAAATCTATCTCCTGCTGGCGTTCTTTGCAGATTTTGAGTGCATAATAATAATAATAATAATAATAATAATAATAATAATAACCTGGATTGTCACCAGTAAAAGCCTTGACCTTGCACCTTGGGTTGAAACCGTACCTAACTACTAGGTACGGAGAGATGTTGCCCTAGTGATGATAATGATGGTGATGATGGTGATAATGATGGTGATGACGATGATGACGATGATAATGATAATGATGATGACGATAATGATGGTGATGATGACGATGATGATGATAATGGTTATATTTACTGACAAGACATTTTCCACACGGTACAAGTGGTCTAAGTTTCATTGCCAAACCATCCATCCCATACGCCTGAAAATTTAATTTATTCCTTTTTTTTCTTCACTCATTCATTCATTCAATCAATCAATAATTCGTTCATTTATTTATTCGTTCATTCAATCAAACGGTCAGTTAGTTGTACATTCATTCGCTCATCAATTTATTCCTTCAATAACTCTTTCATTCGTTCGTTCGATCATCAATTAATTTATTAAATTTCATTCCATTCATTCATTCATTCATTCATCCATCCATCCATTCACTCATTCACTCATTCGTCCTCGACTCGACCTGCAGACACCTCTCACTCCAGGTGCGTTCCTTCAGATGCAACAGATTCATGGCAGACCCGTCGGGAAGGTCGATGCTGGCGTACCTTCTAAGCATCAAACTGCACGCAAAACTACTGACCAGGCTTATCACCTGATCGTGGTGATGATAGTGATGATGCTATCGGTGATGATGATGATAATGATGAGGATGGTGATGATGTTGAGGATGGTGATGATGACAATGATGATGATGGCGATGATGATGTAACAGACCAGGTGAAATTAAGAATTTGTCCATTTAAACTTTTATAATAATAATAATAATTAGCGACGTCATCATCATCGTCATCATCATCGTCGTCGTCATCATCATCATCGTCGTCGTCATCATCATCACGTACTTCCGTTTGCAAATATTCCTGGTGATGATGTTTGTAAATTTTCTTTATCTGGTTGGCGGTGATTCTGTGAAATGCCCGACAGCCAGTTATGAGGCTGAGCTGAATGGATGGATGAATAAATGAATGGATGGATGGATGAATGAATGAATGAAAAAATTAAGTAAATGAGTGATGAATGAAAGAATGTAACAGACGAACGGTTATACAAAAAAATAAAACTTCCGTGTTACCAATGACCGGTGAAATAAAATAGAATAATCGTAACGGTCATCATCATCACCACCACCACCATCATCATCATTATCACCGTCATAAGAATCATCACCATCACCACCACCCCCACTATCATCATCATCATCTTCACCTTCTCTCCTCCTCCCATTTTTTCTTCAATCTCTCTGCATTCTTCCTCCGTACTGGCATCCATCCATATGGGACTGTCCAGGATAGTGAAGGCGTCCTGATAATGATGGGGGCGGTTATGATAATGATGGTAATGATCATCATCATCTTCATCTTCATCATCATCTTCATCATCTACGTCATCGTCGTCGTCATAGTCATCATCATCATCATCGTCGTCGCCATAGTCATCATCATCGTCATCATCATCATCGTCCTCATCATCGTCATCATCATCATCACCTTTAATTGTTTGTGCATCGGAAGGTTACTATCCAAATTTGTGAGTAACCCTTCACTTCCATACCTCCAATAAACGCTTCCATGTTGCTTTGGTGATGATGATGATGATGGTTATTGTGATGATGATGATGATGCTGATAATGATGATGATGGCTAACCTGTGCTGCTCCAGAAACAGCTACAATTTTTGAAAAGTCGACACTGTTCTCTTTCATTCTCTCTAGAATCAGGTCAACTGCCTTCCGTGATGACGACGATGATGACACGATATAATAATGAATAATAATAATTATAATTATTATAACTATAATAACAACAAAAATTACAATAATAATAATAACCCCCGCAACTGCTTTATCAACAACAACAGCTAGAATGATCATCATCGTCATCATCATCATAGTCATCATCATCATCATCATTACCTCAATCCACATGAGTACGGGGGCTGTAACGGTTTTGCCATCCTCGTGATAGGTTACTCCCGATTTGGTTCTTTAAAAATAAAAATAATGACAACAATAAAAATTGTTACTATTAATATTATAAATATGGTTGATTATTATTATTATTATCTTACTTATACTGTGGCAAGTCAGTTTCAAAGGTGACAGCATCCTCATAAACGACTCTCCATCCGTTATTTATTACGATCACCTTTGTCTAAAAAAATTATAATTATAAATATTTAAGATATAATAATAATAATATAATAATAATATTATTATTATTCAAAATTAATTTATTTTTTTTTTTATAAAAATAGCAATAAAATACTTGTTGTGTGCTTATTTCGATGGACAAGAATAACTTATCATCATCAGGTCTGGACATCATCAAAAAACGCAAAATTAATAATAAATATTCAATAATAATTTATAATCTTTTTCTAAAATTAGGCGAAGTTTCGGATAAAAAGTGTAATTTGATCAAGTTTTTACTATCACAACGAGATCAGCAGCTAACGACGTTGTTTACGTTTTACAATTAGATAGATGTTAGATAGATGAAAAGTAAAATTTTGAAATGGTGCTAAAAAGTTTTTAAAAGGTTCGTAAAAACCTTCCTTCGACACCTTCACGGGCAGTCTCGAATTTCAATTTTAAGACAAATTATTAATTAAAATTCAAAACAAAATACTATTAACAATTAAAAAATAAGCAATAACATTAATTCAATGAAGTATAGATAGATAGATTGATAGATAGACAGATAGATAGATAGATAAATGGATAGATAGATAGATAGATAGATAGATAGATAGATAGATAGATAGATAGATAGATAGATAGATAAATAGATATAGAAAGAGAGATAGATAGATAGATAAAGAGAGAAAGAGAGAGAAGGGAGAGAAAAAAAGAGAGAAAGAGAGAGAGAGAAAGAGTACATTCATACATATATAGAATAGTTAAAACATTCATACATATATAGAATAATTAAAACATTTCGTATAGACTGAACATTGCATGCACACAAACACACACACAGACACACACGCATTCACATATAAATATATAGCATAACATTTCTTTAAGAAAAAAAATATTTCAAATAAAAAATGGAAATATATATATATATATATATTTATTTATATACATATATATATATATATATATATTTCATTCTTGACAATGCAATCAACATCACATCATGGGATATATATATTTATATACTTAGAAGAAGCCGAAGAATAAGCTGTTTTAAGCATAACGAAACAATAGCAAAGTCAATCAATATCTATTATTATTTATTAATTTTTTATATTTATTAATTCATTCCTTCGTTCATTCATCCATTCAACAACAGCAATAACAAAAATAACAACAATAAATAATAATTATTAACAATAAATAATAAGATCGTACCTTTGAAAACTAGAATAATTATTCAACAATATACATATGTCTGTGTGTGTCTGTGTGTGAGAGCACGCGTGTGTGTGTCTGTCTGTTTGTGTGTGTGTATGTTTGCGTGTGATAGCATACAAATAAAAATATTAAAATAATTAAAATAGTAATTATGATGACAATAATAACGAATCTGCATAGCTTTTTGAATAATTATACGCTAAATAGCAACAACAATAACAACAATAATATAAACAGAATAACAATAACAATAATAAATATGTTACGATCATATACATACAGAAAGAGAGAGAAGGAGAAAGAGAGAGAGTGAGAGAGAGAATATATTATTAAATATTATATAGAATATTTGATTTATAAAAATCATAAATGACTATCAGTATGCTACAGATCTACTTATAATATCAACGAATGAATGGATGAATGAATGAACGAATGAATGGATGAATGAACGAACGAACGAACGAACGAATGAATGAATGAATGACGAATGACTACAATCAACAAGCTGTGATGCTTTTAAATGAAAGAAAAATATATATACTTATATATATATATATATATATATATATATATATATATATATATATATATATATATATATATATATATATATATATATATATATATATATATATAGAACAACTTTGGTTGCTTATAACTAACAGACATTTAACGCATTAAATAATTAAAATATTTCCAAAAAAATATTTAACATAATTTATTCATGATTCAGACTTAACAAACAAGAAGCAACCAATAATAACAAGAGTTTTAATACATTGGATGAGGAGGAGAGAGACGATAACAAGCTCATTAAATATTCATGGAAAGCTAATTAACATTCGTGACGTCACAGATGGCGAATTAAAATTCATGAAGTCATAATTCATCTTCATTCATTCGTTCATCGTTCATTGATTCATTCATTCATTCAAAGCTGATTAAGTTAGCAGGAGGCTAAGTGGAAGGAATAAAATTATTAATATTAATGTAATAATATTGATTCAATGAATGAATGAATGAATGAATGAATGAATGAATGAATGAATGAATGAATGAATGAATGAATGAATGAATGAATGAATGCAGTGAAAGATGGATGGATGGATGGATAAATAGAAGAAAAAATAAATGAATTTATGGACAGACGGTTGAATGAAGGAATGAACAAACGAAAGAACAAACGAAAGAACAAACGAAAGAACAAATAAATGAATGAATGAATAAATAAATGAATGAATGAATGAATGAATGAATGAATGAATGAATGAATGAATGAATGAATGAATGAATGCAGTGAAAGATGGATGGATGGATGGATAAATAGAAGAAAAAATAAATGAATTTATGGACAGACGGTTGAATGAAGGAATGAACAAACGAAAGAACAAACGAAAGAACAAACGAAAGAACAAATAAATGAATGAATGAATAAATAAATGAATGAATGAATGAATGAATGAATGAATGAATGAATGAATGAATGAATGAATGAATGAATGAAAAAACTCTCAGACCTTATTGGTTGATAATCTCGAGGCCCTGTCCAAATGCCTGCACCAATCAATGGCGTTTGTGCTATCAAACGTTTGAAACTTGTATATGTTACCTGGTTGGTTGGTTGGTTGATTGGTTGGTTGGTTGGTGATAAAAAATTGACTGAAACGTAATGACTGATAGATTATTTAATTAATTGAGTGAATGATTGATTAATTTGTTAGTGAAAAATGAATGAATGAATGATAGAATGATTGTTTTAATGGATAAATGTTGAAGTAACGTTTGATTAAGAACAGTGATTTTTAAAAACGATGAATTGATCAATGCTTCATCCATCCATTTATCCATAAGTTCTTCATCCACCTAGTCAGTCATTCATTCATCCAATTAATCCATCAATCCATCCACTAATCGGACCTTTATTAGGATCAGTTATGGTGAACGTGTTGTGTTTCAGTTTTCCATCATCACTCAGTACTACAACGCATCCAACAATCGGAGACATCTTGCACGGGTCCTCTCGAAACTGTCATTCATTCATTCGTTCATTCGTTCATCCATTCATTCATTCGTTCATTCATTCATCCATTCATTTATTCATCCATTCATTCATCCATTCATTAATTCATTCATTTATCTGTCATTCGCTGGTTTATTTGATAATCCTCTTTCATTCATTCGCCCGTTCAGGTATACACTCATTTGCATTGATTCAGTGATTACTTTGTTTAAAACTGTCCTGCACGTCATTCGCTCAATTATTCATTCACTCGTTCATTCATTCATTCATTCACTCGTTCATTCATTCATTCATTCATTCATTCATTCATTCATTCATTCATTCATTCATTCATTCATTCATTCATTCATTCACTCACTTATATTCATTTATTCATTCAAACAATCAAACAATAGACCAATTCAGTTACCAACCAACCAATCAGTCAACCTACCAACCAACCAACCCACCAACCAACAAACCGACCAACCAACCAACCAGCCAACCAATCAACCAACCAATCAGCCAACCTGCTTACCGAATTTCTACAAGTTCCTCTGATACACCTGGCAGGAAAATAAACCAGCATTGACTTCCAAAGGCCCACCCAGTACCTCGTCCACGAAGACATCTAATTGGTCCGGTGGGCGTGGTTAATTGGTTAATTAATATTCATGAAGTGGACGTTATTAGCCATTTATTATTCATAAAAAATGTGATTGGTTGGTAGGCAAAGATAATTAAATTAATTAAATTCATGAGCTCTCAGGCGAACACATTCAACTATTTCATACAACTAACTGTAATCATAATCATCACTTTCATTAACATCATCATCATCATCACCATCACTACTACCACCACCACCATCATCATCATCACCATCACCCACATCATCATCATCACAATCATCACCACCATCATCATCAGTACCGACCGACGGCTTCTTTCCATTTTTAAGAAGAACTCTCCTCTTGAGACAGCCCTCATAGTCGTAGGTAGCTTTATACACGTCCGTCTGCTTCAAGTGGCCCCCACCACAACTACCACTACCACCACCAGCAGCGCCACAACTATTACTATTACCACCACCACCACAACTACTACTACCGTAACCTCCGTCGCTACTACTACCAAGACCGCCCATGCAGCCGGTAATGTTATTAGCAGCGCCTCCCTCCATTAGGTGCTTGCTGTGTGCATGTGCGTTTGTGTGTGTGTGTGTGTGTGTGTGTGAGTGTGTGTTAATAAATTTACGACGCCAACCGCAATGAACCTAACCAAAAAGACATAAAATATAACATAAAGGACTACTACTGCAGCCACGAAAAAAACCCAGCAAAGATGAGAAAACGAACAGAACAACAAAGATAAATAAGATAAACAAACAAAGATAGAAAAATACATACACGCAAACAAAGAACTACGAAAAGACAGATGAAAAAGAATAACAACAACAATAACAACAACAACAACAAAACGAACGCAAGAAAATTAGGATGATGACCATCAATTCTATTCAAGCTGTTGTCACCTGTTGATGTTGCGTTGTTGTTGAAGTTATTGATGTTGTTGATTGCTGAGTTGTTAACGTTGTTGTTGATGTTGTTGTTGTTGATGCTGTTGAAGTTGTCGAGATGTTGGTACTAATAAAGTCAGACACACACACACACACACACACAAACACACACACACACACACACAATAAAAAACACACGATAAAAAAATCTTACTTGAACTAAGCAAACCCCCACGAAAACCCCCCAAGGTGCCCTCATCTCCACGGTTTCCCCCAACAGCCCCCTCCACTTCTAAGACACTGTCGTCAATCAGATGGTGTCGTGTTGTGGCCGCTGTCGCAGTTGACGCCGTCGTTGACGTCGCCGGAAGTTGGTGGCGAGATAGATCGAAGGAACTGAAGGAATGAGTGAATGAATAATGCAGTGAATGGAAGAGTGAATGAATGAATGAATGAATGAATGAATGAATAATAAATTAATGAATAAATGAATAAATGAATGAATGAATGAATGAATGAATGAATGAATGAATGAATGAATGAATGAATGAATGAACGCTAACTCAACAATAGAAGACAATCCAGCCTGTCTTGATTTCTTCATTAACTTCACAGATGATGACGTCATAGTTTGTTGTTGCTGCTGTTGCAATGAAGTTGTCGGCAACATTAATTCTTTTGTTGGAAACGGCGTCGTCGTTGCTGTGGCGGCTGCTGATGTTGTTGCAGTTGTTGCTGTTGATGTGTTGACGTTGTTGCTGTCCATATTCGGCTCTATTTCTAGAGACAGTCTGATTTTGAAAATTCGAAAAAAAGGTGATGACATTTCTCTTTCTAAATAAAATGCAGCCGTTCACCGTT